CTAGGCTGTGCTAGGCTCGGTTGGGTTATGGCTAAGTTGGTTTTGTTAGGATAAGCTGGGTAAGATAAGGTAAGGTTGGTTGCTTTTTAACCCCCGTTAGCGAACAGTCATGTATACGATGAGTGTTATTTCCGTGAAGACGGTCTCAGCAGAGCAAGACGCGGAACTGGCTGGCACGGGTGTGTGTGTCTGGCAAGGAGAACCCCCCAAGGCACCACACCATTAACACACATCACGCGCGTAGTAATGGCCGGGAATAATGAATTCAAATGTGAAATGTGCCATGGACAGTAGGACTGGATTTAGCAGAATATTACAGCAATTATTATTAAGGCTTTCCTCGTGTGGACATATTTTCGACACAATCAGTCATGCTGTATAATCTGTGGTTGAAAACAAATAGTCTAACCTACACGTGGCAATTAAAATAAAAATGCCATGTCGGTTCGGCCTAGACTTATCAAGTCGTGACTGGCTTGATAAGGTAAGGTTCGTGACTGGCTGGCTTGATAAGGTAAGGTTCGTGACTGGCTGGCTTGATAAGGTAAGGTTCGTGACTGGCTGGCTTGATAAGGTAAGGTTCGTGACTGGCTGGCTTGATAAGGTAAGGTTCGTGACTGGCTGGCTTGATAAGGTAAGGTTCGTGACTTACTTGATAAGGTAAGGTTCGTGACTGGCTTGATAAGGTAAGACTCACGACGGACCGAGTTATCTGGAGCTTGCAAGTATTTACGGCGAGGAAGATGAAGAGGCAGAAAGAAACCTGGTCGACTGTGCAGTCGATCATTGCATGTTTCGAGACAAGTGCAGCCACACCGACCACCCCCGTTATGTCCCGGCTATCACTCGTGCGTATATTTGAAACCACAATGCTGTACTGTAATCCCGGAAGCCCTATACATGGATATATTTGAGAGTGTGTCTGTGGTATTCGGTAAATGATAAACTTTGATACTTTTTACAGACACAAGTTGGTCCAGTGAACAAATATGTGGAGTTGACCAATCCAGACACAAGGAAATGAAGGGACGACGACGTTTCGGTCCGTCCTGGACCATTCACAATCGACTTGAGAATGGTCCATGACGGACCGAAACGTCGTCTCTTCATTTTCTAGTGTGGATTGGTCAACATACTTCAGCCACATTATTGTGACTCGTCGCCTGCATATGTAGAGTGTTAGCAAGCTTTCATTGGTACTGCTCCGGTTCTTCCGCTCTGACATCTTATCTGCCAGACTGTGTTCAAGTTGCAACTTAATATCCAAGCCGTTGCACGCTGTAAAAAAAAATTCTGGCAGTGAGGGAGGCCTAAAAAGCAATATACAACAATCTAGTTGGATACCAGTTGGGTGTCTGGGATCCTTCCTTTTCGTGAATAATCGTGCATTGGGAACCAGAACTGAAGCTGGAAGCACCCCCGCACTCTCCTCCAGCAAGTGCAACCTCACACAACTCGACCACAATGCGCAACAGCTCACGCGCACGCACGCACGTACACGCACATGCACACACACACACACCAGTTAGGATCAGTCTTGTCATCAAATCGCATGTTTACCTGCGCGTCCCTATGACTTGTTGATAAACACTGCCGCTCTTGATATCACGAATAACTTAGATCTACTCAACATGACAGCCACACTCATGAACGTTACAATCATTCCCCCAGAACAGGAGACAAATCATTTGGACACTGGTTTATAATCAATTTCGTTGATTTTGTCTGATTTGATAAATCATGATTATATTTGTTGAAAATTTGCATTTGCAGATTAAGATAACAAAATGCATAGACTCAATGTGTACCATTTGAGTGCGGTTAATTCCATCAATTCTTTGTCAACTCTCAACCACCATTCACAGTAATTATACAAACACCACACACAGCCTCAAAAAACTTAACACAATTACTAGCCTAGTACCTATACTCCGCCCCCCCCCCTTCTCTTGGCCATGTATTTAAACTGGTTGATACAACAACAAATGCCCACCTGTTAACTGCAGGTGTGATCTCCAATTGATGCATTGGTCAGAGAACGTTCCCTTTCCCAGATTATTTACACTAATGGCTCCTTGCACCAGTCCTATGGTGCAACTGGAAGTGCAGTTGTGGTGACAGCGAGAGATTGAAATTGAAATAAGTTTATTGAGGTAAAATACACACAAAGGGATGAGGTAGCTCAAGCTATTCTCACCCCGTTCAGTACAACGTGTTAGTACATACATAGACACATATCACAATGGTTTCTTCTCCTAGTGTGTGGAGCGCGTATAAATAACTGGGCCTCCACTCTTCAAACAGAATTGTTTGCCATAATCCTTGCACTCGAGCGCGTATATAAGTTGACGCGCTAATTGAAAGTGACTTCTTGTCATCCTTGACTGCCCTCGGGTACCCAAACTATACCTATGACGTACTTGTGTCTGGAACTAGACACAGATATAATGAAATAATCAATGATGGAGTCAGAGTTTGTCTCCTGTGGATTTCTTCCCATATTGGCATCCGAATACACGATAGAACTGATGAGTTGGCCAAAACCTGTGCTCGTAAAGAGGGAATTGATTACCATCTTGGACTGCCTTTGAGCAGTCTGAGGGCAGTAATATTCCGGGAACATCAACAAAATCTCGGAGACTTGAGGCAAAGTGAAATTCACTCCAATTACTCCATCTATCATCATTCTATTATGCAGGAAGAACCACACGTCTATGGGTCATCCAATAATGTTAGCAGACTTCTAGATGTTACCACTGCTAGGCTTAGGCTCGGCTACAAGTACCTCTGGGAATTTGTAACATCTGCTGATGTTGGTTTGCCCAAAATGTAAACTCTGTCAGCAGAACTATTCGCATACTTTGCGTCATTATATAATGGAATGTGAAAAAATCGCGGACTTCAAAGGTAACACCATCAATGGAGCCCAAGAAATGACTGAGTACTTCACTCAGTCAGGAATCTTGCCAGGAATCTTAGCGAAGTATCCAAAATTTGCTTACTGTAGGTGCAACCTGCACATGACTGTAAAGCTGCCGCCCAGTTGGGTGGGTGTGGAGCACATGACTGTAAAGCTGCCGCCCAGTTGGGTGGGTGTGGAGCACATGACTGTAAAGCTGCCGCCCAGTTGGGTAGGTGTGGAGCAAGACTAATAACTGTGTGACTCACATAGATATAATGTGCCTTGTACAGTGACTGTTGCGAGTCTCTTGTTGAATTACTTATGATATAAAAAGATTATCGATATGTATATGTATGTGTAAATGATTGTATATATATGTACATATATATATAAGATTAATAATTGTGTAACTAGCTTCAAAAGATTGGCACTTGCCATAGTTCTAAAAGAACTATGGGGTTCAGTTCCTGACCCCATCATGTGCCTCTGTAACCCTTTCCCCCACCGCCCACGGGATGGGTATGGGGTGCATAATAAAGAAAGAAATTTAATTATTAACTGCAGGGAGGGCATTCGACCCCTGATGATCTTAAGTGATTAAGAAACCTAACCCTCCCGTCCTCCTCACACCCCCAGCTCCTTGTCCTCACACCCCATGAGAGCTCTGTAGCCATAATGACTACACAGTTTCTCCTCATAATTACCTTTAATTAGCCCCCCCCCCTCCCCCTCCCACGAGTTTCCCAACAGTGGCGGGAGTTATAGAGGAGCCAAAACCACTTGAGGCGGCACCACCGTCAAATTATCCAATTTGTCAACTATGTTAATTGAAGGTCCTTAATTACCGCTTCAGTCTCACCCTTACGTATACCAAACATAAGAGCTAATCCATGGCACAATCGACCAAGAAAGTGACCAGGTTGCTAAATTCGTACATTTTATCAGCATTTCGAAAGATTGCAAATAAATTAGCAGAGTATACTTTATATATATATTCATTTGGTTCAGATTTTGAGACTGTGAAAATCGGTTTTCAATTCAACTCCAATGGTTACAAAAGACATTAGAAGCTTTGAATAATATGAGACTTCACTGTGGATGACACCTAATCTGCTCAAATTAAAAATGTCATTAAATGCGTATATATAATTGCAGCCGATTTGTTTAACGACCACTAGATAACCTTGTGGGTGGGAGGCAGATAATGTTGAGTAAGAAGCAAATTTGTAAAGTATAATCTCAGCTATAATCTGCAGGCACCAGCCTCTCTTATGAAGGATCTGGTCAAATGATACACAAGACGATTCGACACAGTTCGCTTTCTGTTTGTTAAAACTGTATATGTATTAGACACCCAGTTGTTCGAATTATGTATGTATGTGTATATATATATATATATATATATACACATACATACATACATACATACACACACATAAACGAGCACGTTATGTGTAACTAAAGAACTCAACCTCGTGAAGGACTCGAACCTTAGAGATAGCCTGGTGCTCCAAACACGTTAGCATATCCAGTACGTTATCCACTTGACCATTGCAGATTTTAAAGTTGTTAATAGCCGAGGCTATTTAATATAAAATATATATAAAAAAATCTTACTGATTTTGAAACGTTGTTCTTTGTCTTGGCAGAGTATTTTACTGAACTAGTAAAACTGTGCGTGCTGGTAATTTGAATGAAACATTTACACAAACATTTGTAAACAAAAATGGTATACAAGTCATCATTAATATATAAACAAATAAAGAGTTGTGTGTGTACTTACCTAATTGTGCTTGCGGGGGTTGAGCTCTGGCTCTTTGGTCAACTGCAGGACCTTGTGCAAGTATGTGTGTGACCATGTGTGTGTGTGTGTGTGTGTGTGTGTGTGTGTGTGTGTGTGTGTGTGTGTGTGTGTGTGTGTGTGTGTGTGTGTGTGTGTGTGTGTGTGTGTGTGTACAGAGTCGTGTTGTTGCTTGCCTAAGCCAGTTTTTGTCTAGTCAGCCGCCGCCACCGCAACCTTTATTGATGTGCCAATCACGACCCCGATTGATGACACTAATCTCAAAACATCTCAATCCGATAACACAATATTACTCACCATTTTTGCCTTTGTAGTTAAGATTTCTCGCCCTTTGTACTGAAAATAAAAAGACAATTGTTAATTGAATAAGGTTTCACACATAATTAAGCAAAAATTCTTAACCACTTATTTTCTAATTAATTTTATGTGTACAGAAAATTTTGATGAATTCATTCATACTCTCACAAAATATCATCTACAATAGGCTCCCAGCAGCAAAACATGCTAGAGTAGCTTTGAATTTGCCTGAATTTACCTGAGGGGCCACTAATAATATTAGTGGGCCACTAATATTATTAGTGACCGTTGTATAGTGGCTACTAATTTACCTGAGGGCTACTAATTTACCTGAGGTGGATCACCCATCCACCAGTCCAGGTGGATGGGTGACGAACACATCATTTAATGTGTCATACAGGAACATATGACTCGCTTAAAATCATCACTTCCATCCCCCTCCATCTTACTAGTCATGGCTATGCATATTGTCTACTGCTATTATGTGACCCACTGTGCGCGCTAAGCTCATTCAGCTGCAACTATTCCCACTTTTAAACAACCAGAAAGCCGACCATTTGTTGCTTTCAAAGTACCATCTATGAACCGTAATTTATCAGACAATGGACCAATTTAAGTTTTTGTCTATGTAGAATGCCGATGTTGCCTCAAGTTAATTTTCTCTACCCCATCCAACATAAGCCAGTAGGTCTATAATAAAAACTGGGTATACTCAAAATATTGACTTGCACGTGTATATTTTGTTCCCTTATCATTCAAACGTAAATAATACTCTATTCACAAAATTACAAACTACAGCCACACATACTTTCACTAGACGCATTTCGAACCTCCATAATGGCTCAGCACTTTATCCTGATAATTACCTAGGAGCATTTTATATAATATGCCATCATTTTATACCGATGATTCGTATCTGCTGCCAACTGCACATGGAAATATTTCAAGCAGAATTGTGAAAGCTTAGTCATTGGAGTCCAACCGCCGCGTTGTATAAATATGGTACCCAACCCTTCCGCCCCACCCAACCTTCCTCCCACGCGCCATTATTAGTCATATACCTGGAATCTTTGCCGGATCTAACTGTTTTGGGGCCCCTAGGCCAAAGCTAGCTAAATGGGCCCCCACCCTCTGGTCAACGTGGCTATTCAACGACTAAACACATGAGCTGCTCACTTGAGATAGTTAAGCAAGTCCCAGCTGTGTCTGGGTACAAGTGACAGGATGAACAACTCAGCGGGGTTTCTTCCTTTTGGGGAGTGTTGTACATGCTGCTATGGAGGTGTGTCCACTCTCAAGATGAATGGCGCTGCCCAATAAACTCACCCCTCGGGGCAAAATTTAAAATTTAAATTTCACATGTAGACAGATAGTGGGCTCCACGACAGATGGGGATGGTATAGGCTTACTTGATGAACAACCCAGCGGGTTTTCTTCCTTTTGGGGAGTGTTGTACATGCTGCTATGGAGGTGTGTCCACTCTCAAGATGAGTGGCGCTGCCCAATAAACTCACCCCTTGGGGCAAAATTTAAAATTTAAATTTCACATGTAGACAGATAGTGGGCTTCACGACAGATGGGGATATTATAGGCTCTCTCTCTCTCTTGGGTAATCCGGCCCTGCCTAGAATTATGCTCCTTTGACCATCCTGTAAACGGTTGCTGACAGGCTTCTACCGCAGCAACCCATTACCTGAATTTAGCAGAGGGCCACCATCTCGAGTGGCCTCGACGTGGACAGGTACCGGTAATTTGGAAGCTCATTTAAATGTGATGGGAGCTAATAAAGACTAATGGCAAGTTAACCGAGTGTAAAGAGGTTTGAGTTGACCAGACCACACACTAGAAAGTGAAGGGACGACGACGTTTCGGTCCGTCCTGGACCATTCTCAAGTCATCGACTTGAGAATGGTCCAGGACGGACCGAAACGTCGTCGTCCCTTCACCTTCTAGTGTGTGGTCTGGTCAACTTACTTTAGCCACGTTATTGTGACTCATCGCCTGCAACAACTAAGAGGTTAGTGATGGGCTAGTGAGGGGGTTGTGTGCTTTCAGAGATAAGTTTCATTTCCACACAAGACGCAACTGACATGGAATTCATGTTTGGCAATTAATCTTATCGCGTCGGGAAAAGAAACACCGGCTGCCAGGTTATCGTAAGAAATATAAGTTCAGTACCATACTTTGAGTCCTCTCTCAGCATGCTGCTTTAAAATAGCTTGGCGCTTACATTTACGCAAATTGGAATATTATCCTTGTAACACTGCACATACTTTACTTTCAAAAATGTATCTGTACTGGACCGTGAACTAGAATTCTTGTAAAGCTGGAAATTAGCTCAATTATCGAATACTGTAACTAACTCTCCTGTATTTCTTTATAAACATAATACTACTGTAATAATACATTCGAAAAACTTTACAAAAATATATAAATTTAAATATACTTTTCACATACTGTATATGCTTTATTAATATCTGAAAACTACAACAGCTTATTTAACTCTTGGAAATTATACCATTATTAAAAAAATAAATTATATACCTTGATTAACATGATTATTTATGTACGCAAAATGAAGCAAAAAAGCGACCACAGATTCACAAATTATTTAGATAAATAAAAAAGCATTAATCTTATTCTGAAAACTATAAAAGTAATATATATTTAGATACAAAAGTCAGATAAATTCTTAATTGGACACACTAAGTTGCGAGACAACCAACAAAGCATGTCCCAAAATAGATATACAGTAACTCATTAATTTTTTTACGGTATCTAATTACTAGCCTAAAGATCTGCATTTCAAAAACGAAGTTCACTCACAAAGTACATGTCAAGTTAAATGGCCACACAGGCCATTTAACATGATAACATTTAACATTATTGCGACAAATTGCTTCGTGTCTGGCAAGAATTTAATTTATTATGCACCCCATACCCATCTCATGGGAGGAAGTGGAAAAGGATACTGAGGCACATAATGGGCTCGGCAATTGAACCCCCAAATTAATTTAGCAAGGCTAGTTATAATCTGATGCCATCCCATATTGACCTTCGAACCACGATAAAAGTGATGAGTCAGTCAATGACTGCAATAGCCGGATGGGTGACCACGTGGGTACATCCTCACCCGTGTTGGCGGGACCTTGACAAGTCGATTACGGGCTTCCTGCCATAAACCCATTATTATTGATATTATGGCCCAGGGCTCTGGTGCAACATGTCAACATTGACCAACATCCTCAAGAGTTGACATATTCCATCGATTTTAACTGATTTGTATAATGGTCATCTTGAGATGATTTCGGGGCTTACTGTTCCCGCGGCCCGGTCCTCGACCAAGCCTCCACCCCCAGAAAGCAGCCCGTGACAGTGGACTAACTCCTAGGTACCTATTTACTGATAGGTAACAGGTGCATTAGGGTAAAAGAAACTCTGCCCACTGTTTCTCGTCGGCGCCCGGGATCGAACCCGGGACCACAGGTTCACGCGTACAGTGTTCTGTCCGCTCAGCCACCGGCTCCCTACAGGTGGTTACAACTGAATCTTTACTTATCAAGAATTTTGTTTTGGTATTGAACTTCAACATTCAGTTGTTCAATTAATAGTCTTTATTAGTAAACCTTGCATTCTAAAATTCAATTGCAATTACAACACAACTAGTTCTTGACACGTGGTGGAACTTGATAACCTTTTACAGGCTTCGTGACTCAGACTGGTATGTCATATACCGACAACTGGAAGGTAAACTAGTTCTGGACATTTAACTATTAAACTATTGAGAAAATGCGCGCCAGTTCTTAAATAATACATATTCCAACTTGCACAGAAAAATTTATGCTGATAAAAAAATGGAGAACAATATTGTGTAAGAGCAAATATCATCAGCTACATCTAACAGACGACACCCTCCATAATATAATAATGACTATACTTCGTGCAGCACTTCCACAACTTCTCGTGTATACTGGTTTCCTTTATTTCTTTTCCCATTCCCAATCCGGCAGTATTTCATGTACAAATTAGATGATTTTATAGGTGGGTGAAAGCTGAACAATGCTTCCACGTGGTGGTACGGAGTGGAGCAATAGCATGCCTGCAGGTGGGTTTTGGCTAACAATGTAGCCCACACTCTGAAAACTGTTCCTTCCTCTCATTTTTTTGTATGTTCGTAATTTTCGTACGAGAGTTAGTTATTCCCCCAATATCAAGTTGTTTCTAAGGCATACACTTACAAACCATTTATATGTAGCCTATATAAAATGAATTTTACGAAAGTTATGCTAAATAAAGCCACATTAATAATACTCTGAGCAAGCTTGACATGCTGGCAAGGTCCATAGCTTTTCACATCAAATCTTGCTCAATTCAGGAATTAGGTAAAATTATCAGGAGAGAGCGCCAAGTCATTACAACCACACAGCACTTGCAAGACAAATAAAGATAAGGATTTAGGATAGGGTGGAGAAAGGAATGGTGCCCAGCCACTTAAATGGTCGGGGACTGATTGCCTACTTGCAAGAAGCGAGACCCTCGCTCTATCGTCCTCAGTCCAAGTGGTTGGGAAGAATTTTAATTCCAATAAAGAACGAGACCTCGTGGTGGTTTTGGATAGTAAGCTTTCGCCAGAGGAACACAAAGAACTTTGTGAGAGGAGCGTATGTGTCGCTTTCCAACTTCAGACTTGCTTTTAATTACAAAATATGGAGGTCTACATATATATAATATGTCTATATATAAACTGCAATAGTTTATATTTCATACATTTTGTACATTCCATCTATAGTAGCCACTTTGGCATCAGTCATCAGACAGGTAGTTGCATCATCTTTTTTTAAAGGAAATTTGCCAATACTGTATAAACATACAGTACTCTACTATTTTTATTGGCGGGGATCGTATTCCAGGGACCTGCCCGAAACGCTACGCGTACTAGTGGCTGTACAAGAATGTAACAACTCTTATATATATCTCAAAAAATTGTTTTCTTTTTTGTCCAGAAGTGGCCAATGGCTGATTACATAACTCTAGCAGCCACTTTTGTATTTCTTTATTACAGTATGCCCATTTTCTTTTATCACACTTAACATATTACAGCTTAATACACTTAGCATATTACAGCTTAAATTCTTTTCAGTCATCAAAGTGAATTCACAATGAAACACTAACCATAGGTTAATTCACTTCCCAAACTTTAATCAGTTATACTAAGGCTATGCAGTGTGATTTATTTTTTGGCTTTTGAAGTAAAAGAATATTTCCTCTTAGGTGGTGGATTTCATGTTGCATAAAAAATGCAAACAAGTATTTATTCACAAAATATACAGTAAGTTACAGTGCTCAGTACTGTGCTGTATGGATGATTATACTCAAACATGTTGGCGAGAGTATTGTTGTCTAACAGGAATAATACACCGATACATTTTTAAATTGCAATTTGCATTTTCTTCAAAGAGTAGGCCTAAAGGTTTAAAGAAAATGCACACTGCCAATTGCCAGGTGTACTGACCACAAAACTTGAATAAGTAATTATCAAAAGAAAGCACCAAGCCAGTATGACTATGTACAGTAGCACCAATTACAGAACTTTAATATAAAATAAATAAAATATTAACCCATTTAAAGAAATATGACAATTTAACTTAATTGTGTATACACTGTATTAGTACCTACTTTTTTTTTTTTTAAGAAAGTTGCTGGTGAAAGCATTTGGTGCTATAATTACCGACTGATAATTATAGTACAGTATACTATATGCAATGGAAGTATATTAATGCAATGCCATAATATATGTGCAATGGAAGCTAACTTGAACCTCACTAATCCAAATCTTTGAATAACTGTCAAAATCGAGACTCAGACCATTATATTTACACAAAATCTGTATTTCAGTGCTTATTGGCAGTTACTTTGAGCTCTTAAATGTCTTTAAAGAATTATTCATATACCGGTATATGTTAACAGTACAGTAGTTTAAGCATTACCCAAAAAAATTTACAAATACAGTACAATCAATGTTCAGATATACCTGAAATATTGTGCATAATTAGTAGCCTTATCAAAAATGCAAATTCTGTACCCCAATTAGTAATCACTATAACATGAATTTTTTGTATTTTTCAAAGGCTAAATTACCAATATTATTATTATTATTATCATTATTATCGTCATTATTACTACTACTACTGTACTCAGTTCACCTTACAGTTTCCTAAAGGAGAGTCATTGAACTTTGTAAGAAGTTGTGGCAATTTGGGTGTCATGAGAGAATTTTGCACCAGTGGCAGGATTTCTTGCATATGGAAAAGCAAAGAAGAATAAACAAAATAATGAAAATCAATGTTAGTGAAAGTGAGAGCCCTGTAATAATAATGATTCTAAAAGAATGAATGTTGACATCTGCACAGGAGGTACAGGAATACAAGATGCAGATAAATGGAATACCGTAGGCAGGCATGAAATAAGTTTAGAAATAGACTTATTTCTCACTAGCTCATCACTAGGTAGTGAGAAAAGCTTGTGAGCTCGTCACTAGTTCATCAAAGCTAGTGACGGATGGATTTCACACACTGTATTTTTTATTCTGACTTTATAGTACTTGTTTTCTACTTGTTTGTGGTTCATTTATTTATCAATGTATTCTATATGTTAACTTGGCATGGACTTTCTTGGAGTGAATTTGGACTCTCCAATTTTTATTGTTACAGTATTTCATCTCAACTCATTCATTCATTCCTCTCTACTGTGGCCCTTTATCTTATTCTGCCTTAGTGCTGTCTTTATAACTTAGTTAATTCTTGCTAGTTATGTGTAAGCACCTGAATTTAAGGAACATTAATTGGCCCTTTGATTTGGTTACCCTTATTTGGCATATTTTACTTTTACTAAAGCCCAGTTAACTTTAATACAATTTAATTTACAAGTTCACATAAAACTAGAATAAGTGTGAAAGTTATTTAAAGGCTGTACTTAAAATTTTCCACAAAAAATTGAGGTACCTGTACTGTACTTTATATATAAATTAAATCCATTATTAATAAAGCACTTACTTTATTTACATTAACTTTTTATAAATTTCCAACTTTATTTGCCACTGATAAAAATTGTACTATTCTTTCTCTTAATCTAATCCATAAAAATATACAGTACACTATTACTAAACTCTACCCTTATGCCAGAAACATTATTTAATACAAATTTTATTTTAATTTAAATACATAGATCATTTGCAAACAAAATTACCAAGATAGAAAATCTGCCTTTCAATACTGTACTACTATAGCTCGGCAATGTACACATCACTTGGTCCAGCATTTACACAATGTTGAGGCTGGCTAGTATCTGGTTCGGTGATCCAGATACTCGATAAGCTCGATCTCGATAATCCTAACAGGCTTTCTGGTCCCATCAATGGGAAACCACGTACTGTATGGTTTGTACTGTAATACAGTACTGTATTCTGTACAGTATAAGGGAGCTAAGGGCCTCAGTAGTACAGTTAGGTTCGTTCTCTACTCATACTCCAGAATCCTGGATTCGAATTACGGGCGTGACAAATGGCTACAGTAATCTGTACAGATATTTGACTGTATTTAACCTCATCTATTGTAATGAGATGCAACCCATTCTCCCAAAATTATGGTACTTATAACTAGTATGGATGTAATGGACAAAACATGGACTGTAGTCAGGGCTGGATTAAGGCTTTTATTGGTGACTCCAAGATATGGGGCCAGATTTAACACCATATTCACTAATAACACAAGCTAATACAGTACCTACTATTTTCCTTTCATCCATGGCCATAATATGACTAAATAGAATAGTATAGAAAATAATCAACATTAATATATATTTGGATTAAGTAATAAGTAAACAAAAAAAGTACTGGAATCAATTTAATAATATCCTGTAGAAAAAACAAAAGAAAAGTTTGTATGTTTTTTATAGGCCCCACTATCTTGCAGGCCCTAGGGACTGTGATTATGCCTAATGGATTATACATAATTGTGTTGGGAGACAAGGTGCCAGTTTATACATACAGTACATGTTAGGCATATATCGAGATCCCCCCCCCCCCCATTCCCCAGGGTCGAATTACTGACCCTTCCCAGGATGTAACCCCACAACAAGCTGACTAACTCCTGGGAACTTATTTACTGCTAGGTAGATAGAGGTATTTTTAGGCAATAGTAAAGAGAACAACCATTTCTGTCTCGCCTGGGATTTGAACCCGGAATTCGCGACCGAGTCGAGAACGAACCCAATTGTACTACCAGGACCCTCAATCTAACATCGATTATAGTACAGTATTAAACAAAAACTACACGTTTTGCACTATTGAATTCTTCAGGACATAAAAACTGAAGGAGACTGTATCTAAAAATACCCTTCCCTAATAATATTGTATATGCAACTACAGTTTTATAATCAAATAACAAATGAGTACCAATTACTGTAGTAAATGTTCCCATACCTAAAATATTATTTTCATATTACAAAAATTAATTTCAAAAGCTGAATTTTGCAATCAAAATCTGTATTGGTTGAAAACTAACATTAAAATCGACAAAGCCTTCCAAATATAAACTTGCTACATAGGCATAGGCACCGGCGTGTTGCCTTCTTTGATAATTACTTGCTTCTAAATATAAACTGTGAATGATATCTGAATGAATTCAGAAATTGGAATAATTTGATTGTTTAGTGCATTCCTCCACGGACTGCAGTACATTACTTCAAAGCTCCTTAAACCTCCTGGATTCTTCACATAAAGCAATAAGGCATTCATCATTTAAAAAGAACTTTCTTTAACTAATTATCACTTTTCAATGTCATAAAAAATATTTTCTATGGGTCATACACACTGCCCGGTATGACTTATGAGTTGAGTAAAACCTCACATGAGTAAGGAAGGGTTCAAAGGTCAACTCAGATCTTGCTTTTTATCCCCATTCTTATTTACGTCCTAAGAAGATACATTTGAGGCAACAAAAGATATCAGTTAGCACACTTCCCTCGTTACCTGTGACCAGGTAACTTAACGAAGTAGGTTATCTGAAAACAAGTTTTTTGTTTTAGTTGGCTGAGGTGAGGTGAGTAACGGTGAATATTACGAGTCCTAGAAAATCCCTCTCAGCTTGTCCTACTTCACCTCTTACCTGTAACTTGCAGGTGAGTAGGCTGCCACATCCTCCTAAGGTATCCTTGATATGCCTATGTGGCCTAAATCCTCCCCTGTGTGTGGTGGAGTGTTGAATCCTCGAGGTAACAGTACACACACCACCTTCGCCTACCACAGCTGAGCCACTCACTGAGGCCCACCACAACACGGTTGCCAGATCTAAATTGCTGAAAGCAGCGAGCTGACGCTCTGAAAGTAGCGAATTTGTAATAAGAGTAGCCCAATCTTTTTTAGTGAATGATAAGGGGTTCAAAGTAATATATATTTTGATATATAGAGTACACTACACGATGTTAATTGTTTTATTAATATTATTTCTGCACACACACACACACACACACACACACACACATATATATATATATATATATATATATATATATATATATATATATATATATATATATATATATATATATATATATATATATATATATATATATCACTTGTTCCCTTGTAACTTGTAACTCACTTCTATGCTGTGCGTCCTATTTTAACCTGCTATGTTAAATGGGATTCTTGCTTTTTTAGTTTAGTTTAGTTCATTTATTATGCACCCCATACCCATCTTGTGGGTGGTAGTGGAAAGGGTTACAGAGGCACATAATGGGCTCAGGGACTGAACCCCACAATTCATTTAGCTAAGCAAGTTACAATCTAGATGAGCTAGTTACAAAATTCAATATAAGTTGTCACATCAACAATGGGTTCGAGATCGACCTCAAGTACAGGTTCTAAATTAAGCAACTGACATATGTGGAGAGCTAGTGACACAATTTATATGTTTGTCCTAGTAGCAGATCATTTTCGGATTCTTGTATTGTGATTTGTGTATTTGTACTCACTGAATATGTGCGCCCCTTGAGGGACTTGAAGAAGAAGGGGGGAAGGGTAGAAATAGCCTAAGCTACTCTATCCCTTTGAGATGTATTTTTTTATTGTCTCAATAAACATACTTGAACTTGAAGTGGACTTTAATGTTTTTTTCGGCAGCTTTATTTCCTTAGTTTCCGAGCTGTTTTCTTTACCGTGTATGTTGTAATAAACTATTCCTATATTTACAGTTGTTTCTCCCTGTGAAGATTATTAAACAATGGGTGATTATAAGGGCGCGGAAGTTCAGCCTGGCCAGGGCCGCCAGCAGCCCTTGGGGCCGCCAGCAGCCCTAGGGCTCGCCCCGGCAGCTCCCAGTCTTTAATTTGGCACCTTTGTGGCACCTTTGTGGGACCTTGGTGTAAGCCTAACATGTATATATACACTGGCTGCCTGTCCCCCTACACAATGATTTATTATTACCTATTATTTTATCATTTAATTTAAATATTAAATAAAATAATTTATTTAATTATTATAATAAGTACTTAATAATTTAATAATAAGTAGTAAGTACATAAAAATGATTAAAAGTACAGTTTAGTCATAGGAGATTCCTAGATTGGAATTCACTACCAAATTTCAATATATCCAAGTATTTTTAGTGTGAAATGCTGTTATTATATGCATAAATTGTTGTTTTAATAATATTACGCTTATAACCACTTGGGTTGGACGGTAGAGCGACGGTCTCGTTTCCTACAGGTCCGCGTTCAATCCCCGACCGCCCAAGAGGTTGGGCACCATTCCTTTCCCCCGTTCCATCCTAAATCCGTATCCTGACCCCTTCCGAGTGCTATATAGTCGTAATGGCTTGGCGCTTTCACTTGATAGTTCCCCCACCCCCCTGAATAATATTACGAGAGCAGTATTTACGGGCTATTCATGCCCGTGCCACTTCTTTGGTGGCTTAATCTTCATCAATCGAGAGCAGTACGTCCTAACCAGACATTATATGATGATATCCTGAACAGTTGATAAATAAAAGTAATTGCGGAACTACAGTTATCTAATACTTATCATAAATTGTATAAAACCTTATCATAAGCCAAAGGATTTGTAGATCAGTGTTTAAATCGAATTCGGAAGTAATAATAATACAGCTGATGCCATCTGTCGGCAGAAGAGAACACTATCAACTAGCTGGTCAACAGTGGCCATAAGATACAGCTTACGCCATCTGTTGACATCAAATTGCACTTATAACAAATTACCCTGCAAAATACAACTAACGCCATCTCTGTTTTTTCCAACGCACTATAAATAGCCAAACAGCAACCCATAAGGCGGGTTGTTGTGCTCGGGTAGGAGGTTCCAAGCTCCGCCCACAGATGGTATGGGGTGCGTAATAAATGGCATATCATTGGTAGATATTCTTTGTTGACATTCACACAACAGCCAATCACAGGAAGGGATCAGCTAAAGGCTCCATCCACTTAATAAATCATATTTATTCAGCACACCATCGATGCTTATGACATTCTGCTTCAACTTTAATCTACCTAAAAAGTGAAATGTTAAGTATTTAAAAATATTAACATAGTGATAATTAAATACTACAGGATGTAACGGGTGTTACAGAAACATGGGCTGGCTACCTAACTTGGGACGTTATTATTGGGGGTTGCCTTGACACAAATAATGATACACTGCTCTGCCTTCTTATTCGAGTAAATTATTCAGTTAGATGGAGATTTCTGTCAGGTGCAAAACAGAAATTGTTGTTCTTTTTTACAACAACCTTGTTGTTGTGCACAAGGACCTATTTCTTAGTTTAAATTTTATTCATAAAAAGTGTTGGTATTCCCTGCAACAGCCAATCACAGGAAGGTATTTCTGGAAGCTCGGCCTCCTTATGGACTCAGTACATCGCTCTAGCTCATGGCTTTCTGTTTCATCTCTTGTATATACAAACTATGACTTTTTTCAATTACTGTTATAATTAATAATATGAGATATAAAAGTTTTTACACAAAATGGCTAAATTCTGCCATTAAATGGACTTTGTCTGGTATACATACAAACATACACCAATTTATTAAGATTCATCCATTATTAATTTCAAATATAATGTATATTGTCTAGTTTTTTCCTCTCGCCATTACTTGGTGCAATATTTGAAAGTTGTCTATTTATTTATCGATCTATCTATTATCTTGTATTTATATTTACAAGTTTCTGTGCTTGGAAGAAAACTCTGCATTGAATTGGGACAAATTTATTAAATAATATTATTTAGTATTAATTAATATTTCCAATTATTATTAATTACAATTATTTATAGCTTAGTTACTTTCATGTAACTCGCAATCGTACATTCTTAACTTTAATAGCCCAAATTAGCACATTTTGCTTTTAAATTAGCCCAAATGTAGCAAGTAGCGAAATTAAAAATTTGGGAGCGCGGGACTCTCAAAAGTAGCCCAATTCGCTATTTGTAGCCCAATCTGGCAACACTGCCACCACCTGCCTCGCTGCCGCACACTTCTCTCTCCTTTATCTCCCTCATATCGCCATTTATGCTTCTCCTTTCACCTCTTCATTGTTTGTTATTATTGTCTTTAGTTAGTCTAGTCTAGTCTAGGTTGTTTGGTTGGTCCGTGGTGTTTATATAGGGTTATATATAGAGCGGTAGGTTGGGGGGATAAATATGTGCTGGCACCTGTTGACTACCGCCCCGGCCACTCTCTCCAGGCAAAGTTTCCTGTAGTTTTGTGTTTTGTGCTCGTCTAGTTGTGCTTGAGGTGGGGAGGAGGGTTAAGCTTCAGCTCAGTGGATCCGCCTCTCAAACTTAAAGGTACGGGCAGGATTCAGGTGGTGGAGATAACTCAGCTGGTACTCGCCTAGTTGTGCTTGCAGGGGTTGAGCTTAGGCTCTTTGGAACCGCCTCCCAACTGTTAATCAACTGGTAATCTTGAGCCTATTGGGCTCTATCAAATCAACATTTTAAACTGAGTATGGAGTCTGCCTCCACCACGTCACTGCCTAGTGCATTCCCTTTGTTAAATACCTTGACACTGAAACAATTCTTTCTAATATCTCTGTGGCTCATTTGGGTACTAAGTTTCGACCTGTGTCCCCTTGTTCATGTTCCACCCGTGCTAAATAGTTTATCGTTGTCCACCCTGTCAATTCCTCTGAGATTTTTGTAGGTGGTGGTCATGTCTCCCCTTACACTTCTGTCTTCCAGGGACATGAGGCTTAGTTCCCGTAGACTTTCATCATAGCTTATACGTTCGTTGGAACGAGGTACTGTACCTGGAGCTTTGCAATTACTTTATTCACTCTCGTATTCTTGAAGATATCCTCAATGTACCCAAAATTTGCCAGTGCAGGCTACTAAACATATGGCCCCTGTATGACTAACCATCCTGCGAGATGGGGACTTTTATTACCACTGCTACCTTGTTCATTCTGGTGTTGATGATATCCTCAAAATGCATCCGGAGTCTGCCAGTGCAGACTGCCTATCACATGCCTCTGTATGACTAACCATTCTGTGTGATGGGGATTTTTTAGCATCACGTAGCTAGCTTTTTTGACACACTGTACTCCACTTCATATAGTCTAGGGTAGCTGCACAAATGCAGATGTACCTCGTGTATTAATTAAATAAAAAAATCAATTCTGTGACTAGTCTGGTAGCATACATCTGAATCTTTTCTAACTTTAACTAGGTATGGTGCAGACCTCAGGTGGTGGGTTCAGGTGGTGCAGAGCTCAGGTGGTGTAGGACTCGGATGGTGCAGAGCAGATGCAGCTCGTGTATTAGGGTTGATATAGGTTCTATAGCGTCTGATATACCCAGAGCTAATATATAATCTAAGGTGGTTTTTATTGTTTCGATAATATACTCTATTAACAATATTGGGTTACTTTTACCACTATATAGTCAATTGAGGTTAGTTCGTCAGGCAAATATGATTTTTTATTCGAGGTAATTATCAAGACCATCACGGAATAGAGGGTATGAGAACAAGGAGCTAGGCTATGTGGACGGAGAAAAGAGACGGGCCCCAACCACTTGGACCATCGGGGATCGAACGCCGACCATGCAAGGCCGTCGTTATAATTATTTAAGTGGAACTGGACAACTGTGCCAACCAGCACAAGTATAGATTATAATTTTAGCCTACATCTATTATTTTCCGAGTGACAGTCCTTGTTTTTTTAATATTTTAAGATATTACCTATGATAAAAAGTTAGGCGGAACACCGCGAACGTAGCTCTCATCCTGTAATTATACTTACGTAATTACACAAAAACAC